CAATACCACACACACAAACACACATACACACACGTACACAGCACACACGTGTATACACACATGCACACACGTACACACACAATGCACACATGCTCACATCTGCATATGCACACACACACGAACAGGCATACATACATAGACATGCACACAATACCACACACACACACACACGTACACAGCACACACGTGTATACACACATGCACACACAAGCCACACCCACACGTACACATGTGCCCAGGCTAACTGTGGTGGCCTCTGGGCAGGAGGAAGAATGCCTTTTTAGCTTGAGCTCTTCCGAACCATTTAAATATTTTATAGCCATGTAGTCATGAGGAACATTCAGACACATGATGAACACCATCAGCGACAGAGCCCCCAACTCCCGACTCCCCAACCTCAGCTCTTAGCTCACACCCACTTAAGGTAGGTAACGTGACGTTCAGCGTAAGAGGCTCCTTCTCCAAAGCCACATAGCAAGTGAGGGCTGGGCTGGGGTTCGAACCCATGCTATGTGGCTCAGAAGCCCTGGTGGCTGATACCATTTTCCCCTCAGGTCTCCTGGAGGTGGGCCAAGGGCTGGGGCCACCCTGTGGGGGCTAAGCTCCCAGGGGCTCCCTATCCCAGGCTCCAGCTCTATGACCTCAAGACAGATATCCCTGCTCTGTGCCTCAGTCTCCCATGTGTGCCATGGGGCTGTGGAGCAGGCACTCTGGGTGGCCTTGGAGCCCTAGTGGCCAGCATGGGCCCCGACCTATGTGCCCCTCCTGGTGAAGATGCTTCTGGACCCTCTAGCCATCCACTTCCTATTTGGCCTCTGCAATTATAAGGAGGGCCCGGGTGCTGGGAAGCCTCCACACCCGGGTCAAGCTCAGCACACCACAGCCTAGCCCTGTGGCCTTGACAATATACTCTCTGCTGGCCTCAGTCTCCCCATCTGCACATCTGGGGAACCCGCTATCCACCAAGTGAGAGGGCATGCTACTCTCAGATTCTACAGACTGGCAGAGTGAGGCTCAAAGGGGCTTGCCAGGGCCACTTTGAGAAAGCAGCAGATCAGAATTAGAACCCAGGAGTGTGTGTCCCAAAGCTTAGGGCTATCCCAGGAAATGGCACAGCTGGCATCCACCCTGGGCAGGGGGACTAATGAAGCTGTGTGAGCTGACTGGGGGCTTCATGCATT